CTGGACATTAACTATATCTGCCAAGAGGTGAGCCGCTGAGCAAAGCCTCAGGCATTGAGGAGCTCTGTCACAGGCAGGGATGTTGGGATTTGGAGCGGGGACTGATGTGTGTTTTGGGAGGGAGCGGGAAGTAAAGTGGGGGAAAGAAAGATGGTGGGATTAGAGATGAGATTCCGCCAGAGACCTCAAAGAAATTATGATGGTGCCTCCCACCCCATGTAATTCAAAGTAAAAACAATATGAAATGCTAAATATGTATAAAGAAGTCCCCCAAAAATCTGACTTTTCCCAGGACGAACACTTGAATTTGTGTGTGTGTGTGTGTGTGTGTGTGTGTGTGTGAGAAATCCTAAAAATCAAAAGCTTTTAAATATTAAATTACATATACAGTCAATAAAAAGAAGGCGAGCGCGGTTTCTGTCCCAATTTGCCTCCAGTGAGTGCCAGGCAAGACTGCGCCCGGCTGAACTGAGCGAGAGGGCGGAAATCTGACGGTTTATGGAGAAAAGTACCCCACGCAGTGGTGACTGGAAACCGCGGGTGGGGAGGATCCACAGCCGCGCGGACCCGGCAATCGCCCCTCCCGCGCTCCAGGTGACTCCTCCGGCCAGGATGTAGCGGAGGGGAAGCCCCCATCCGGAGGCGCCGGGAGGAGCCGACGAACCCTGACCCAGCCGCCGGGGAGCCCTGGGAGTCGCGCTGGTGCGGAAGCGCCACCGGGGGACCGAGGGAAACCTGACTTGATCGGAAAAGAGCGATCGAAGGGGAGACTAATTTGTCCGCCGGGGTCCTCGCTGGCTCCGTCTGCCCGCCGGGGCGGGGTTACCGCGGGGCCTCCCGCCGCTCGGCGGAAGGGAGGAAAGGGGAGAAGAAGGCAACTCTGCGCGCGCCCGGGGACGCCGGCCCCCCTCGCTCCGGCACGTGGAGGTCAGAGGTTCGCGCCTGCGAGGCTGAAGGGAAGCTAAGAGAGGCTAAGGGAGAGACTCGCGAACAGACGGGAGTCTGGCGGGAGACGCGAGAGGCGCGTGGGACACAAAGGCGTGGAGGCTCAGGAAGCCAGGCGAGGACAGCGGCCGTTCTCGGCTGCCACCGTCTCCTCAACTCGCCCCGCCTAATCTGGAGCCAAATCGGACGCGCCTGCTCCTCCTTCACCCCCCGGTGGTCCGCTCCCCTACCCCTGCCAGAGGTGGTCTCACTTGAGAACCGAAGAAGCGAAGGCACCGGGTTTTTGCCAGGTCTCGCCACTAAATGGCTGTGTTCCCGACTTGTCCTGCGCAGGTGCATCAACTCTCTGTGCCTCCATGTTCTCATCTGTAAAATGGGATTAAAAATTGTACCTACTCACGGTGTTGGTTAGAAATTAAGAAACTAATGCACTAACGAGCTTGGAACAGTACCTCGCGTAGGAGAATCCCGCCAAATGTTTTAGATATCGTTACATTGTGGAGCGCTCGTTCTGTGCGAGGCCCTGCTTTGGGTTCAGGGAGGCAGGGGTGAACTAGGCAGGTGCTAGCAGGCAGTTCTAAAGACTAGGAAAGAAAGGAAACGGGTGGTGTAATAGCGTGACTGGGGAAGAGCTGTTTTAGGTAAAAGGAGCCCACTAAGTCCGTCCCCCTCTCTAGGCCTTAGTGCCTTCTTCGACTAAAAAAAACAGACCGGCTTTTAGGCATTCTGCCCTTCGGCTCAAACATTCTGGCGCGCCAGCGCCAAAAAGTGGGAACAGGCCGGGAAGGGATGCTTGCTGGGAAGGAGGAGACCAAGAGCCCCCGCTGCTCCTTTGCCCTCCGGGGACCCACCCCTCCTCGGGAGGAAGCGCAGCGCGAAGCCCGGAGCCTTCGCAGAGGTTGGATGGTGCTCGGGATTCTGCCAGGGAGGAGGTTCCGGGTTCCTGGAGCCGCTGACTGGGACCAAGCTTCTCAGTGGGAGCTTTGTATTCGAACCAGGTACTCCCAGGGAGAGAATACTTCGTCCCTTGCAGAGCTGGGACGCGTAGTGTGCAAGGGGGTTTCTTCTAATCTTCTGTCTTGCCCCGGCAACCACACCGAGAGCTGATAGGCACTGCAACCCTGACCAGACTGTGGCTCACAAAGGGAAAATGTTGATCCCACTTGACTCCAAGCCCTGAACTTGCCCCACAACACTGCCTTCACTTTTCTGAGTATAAAAAAAATGTTTTAAAGTAACGAAATATCTACTAATGCCTACTATGTGTCAGACCCTGGCTTTATGTGATCTCATTTAATCATCAATCTGAGTCTTTTTTTCCAGTTTTTCCAATTTTACAGACGAGAGGGTCAGAGCAGTAAGGTCACTTACTCAAGTAAGAGATGGAGCGGTTATTCCACCCCAGGTCTGTCCACTCCAGAGCCAGATGTTTTCATCTCAGGAGGAAAGCAAAATAACAGGGCAGAGGTCACTCGCTAGCCCCCTCACTGACTCCTCTTCTAGGTTCCAAGGGCCATGTCACAGAGCATCCCCTGTGTACCATGATCACCAGAGGGTGAAACACAGTCTCTTCTATTTAAACAAGAAGGAGACTAGCTACCTTTGAATGAAAGCCTGTGATGCAGACAATCACCTTGCCCCTGATCCCCATTCCCAAGTAGACTTGCCTACCTCTGATGGCTCTGTTCCTCCCTACATTCCCTAGAATCCAAAGAGGATGCAGCTGGAAAGGGTGCTTTCATTTTACAAAACAAAAACCTGATTCATTCGTTCAACAGACATCTAGTGTCTGCCACTCTAGGCCAGACCTTGAGCAGAGGGCTGGACATGAACTAGCGAACAAAACTGAGACTACCTTAGGCACAGAGAGACGAAATTGCTGGGCAGAGATAATACATCTCAGGAGCCCAGGACTCCTGCCACCAAGTTCTGCCTTCCAGGGCCTCAGCCGTGCTGGAATGTGTATGCCTAGCTTATTCTAGATGAAGCCCCTGTTCCAGCCAGGCAGGTCTCAAAGTCACACCCTCGGAGGCCCAATGCAGGTTTCTACCCAAACAGCCGCAAATACTGACTTAACTTTCTTTCGGTGCAGGTTAAAGAAACTCTCAGCTGAGTCTTGGATCGTGTTCTAAACTGACAGAATTAGGAAAATGAAAACCTGCTCCAGGTGCTCTTAGGAAACACCCTCAATTACTCTTCAAAATAAATTTTGGGAAGTTTTACAGCTGGCAGCAGCGGCTTAGAGAGGTGATATGACTTGCCCAAGGTCATACGGTTCGGATGCATACTGGGCCTCTGTAAACCCCAAACCTGCTAGTACCGCTACTCCTCCTCACCAGAGGTCTGTGCCTCCGCCGGACAGGCGGCAGAGACGACTGCACAATCCTGGGGAAACCACATCTCCGGTTGCTTCCTGAGCAAGCCGAGGAGAGAGGCGACGGCGCCGGCCCGGCGCTCTCAGGGGGAGGGAAAGGGTGGAGCGCTTTGCTGACCGGGCTGCAGCTCCGGTCTGTAGGTAGGAACTGGTCAAAATACTCCTGCGCGCCAGAGTCTCGGGCGCCTGAAGAAGACTAGGCGCAGAGGCAAGGCCCGGAGACGGAACCCAGTGTGACTGGACGATCTTGGAGCAGATCCTGCACTCAGACAGCAGCTCTTCCCATCCTCTCCATAAAAGTCTCTCAAACTTTTGCAGTTGTCAATTAAAAGAAAAAAAGAAAACTAGGTGAATAACGGCAGAGAACTTTTCGACAAGAGGATGGAGGCAGATTTTCGGTTTTCTCCGGAGCCCGAAAATGCGAAGGCTCTTCTTACCTGCAGGAAACCTTGCAGCCCCAAATGCGCGTCCTTCTGGAGCGCTTCGCTTCGGCGCGGGACGCTCACGGTCGTCTCCTCTGAAGCCCGGCTGGGCTCCGGCCCTGTGTTTTATACCACTATAGGCAATTAATATTGCATCAGCCGTATTTTAAATTTTCAAAACCCACAATATAATGTAATGGCATAAGGGCATTTATTATTAAAGGACACCCGATGGAGAGGGAGGTGGGGAAATCGCTGGGGCTGTTGTGCAAGGCGGGGGCGAGGGGCTGAGGCCCAGGGAGCTGCAAGCGATCCGAAAGTTTGCTTTTGCGGTAGGAGCTGTCGCACTGTGCAGAGGGCAAACCCACTCTGTTCCGAATTTCGGGCCCGGGCCCGTGGTTTGATGACCCGGAACTCTTTGAGGACGAAGCAGGGAAATGTGCGGATGACTCCTGGACTCGGAGCATTAAATTTTAAATCAGGAAGGCGTTTCTACGGCTCGCAAATAAAAAGCTTTTCTCCCCATTTTAGAGGGAGCGGAAAGAGAACAGGGAGCTGGCATCTATGGAGCACCTACTATGAGCAGAGCACTATGCTATGCGCTTTGCAGGAGATGTATCAGTGCCCCCACAAAGAAGCCAAGGTGGACCACAGAGTGAGTAACCTCCTGGATGAGAATTTCAAATGAATTTGGAACTCCGATGGGGCCCCACTAGCGTGTCCCAGTGAACACTTTTTTATCCCTCTTTGCCTCTATTCTCTCACCTCCTCTCAAGCCCTTTGAATCTTTTAAAATAATTTTTTGCCTACTAACCCAATCACTACTAGATGTCTTAAATAAACAATCTTACCTAGTCCTAACAGTAACCTTGTGAAATAAGTATTGGTCCCTTCATTCTGCAGACAAGCAATCTTGTTGAAGGCTTAGAGAAGTTAAGAAATGAGCTTCAGGATGGTTCTGCCAGTGAGTGGAGGCATTGGGGACTCGAATTCCCATTAGTCTGGCTTCAAAGTTTACTAGCTTAGCCAAGTTGAGCAGTCTTATAGTTTGGCACACAGGGAAACAAGAAAGGAAGTGCCTTGAAACCTTAAGTGGAGACACAAGCCGTAGGGTCTCCCATGAGGAGATCCAAGTGAGTTTGCCAGGGAAGAGGAGTGGGGAGAGGGGATGGTTGAGGGTTGGTCAGTAGAAACTGACAGCCCAGCCCTTTGGGGTTCTCCCTTTTAAATCCTTTCCAAAGCTAGTACCCCTTAGCCTCTGAGAAAAAATAAAACCACTTTGATTCGGGTTGAAAAATAAAGCATTTATTTTAGAAGTTAAATCAGGGGGTAAAGAGAGAAGAAAACTTAATATTTTATTTGTATCTATTCAGAGAATGAAACCAAAGCTCACAGCAACACACAAACTACATGAAGCAACGAAAAAATAAAATTTGACTCGGCCAGAGGGGCTGAGATGAGAAGGGTTCAGGCCAACGCTCCCACTCCTCTTCCCTCACAAAACTCTAAGTGAACTTCCACCAAAAGACACCCACATAAAGGGAATGGAAAGAAGCAGAGTTAAATAAATAATAGGAATGACCGATGTTAACAATAACAGTAATAATAAAAGGGCAACGAGGTTAGAAGTGTTAAAAGGACTTGCATATAACGCAGAGAAGTTACAGTCACTTTCCAGCAGCCAACTCCACGCATAACTGGCAATCTGACAGCAGCGAGCTGGGTTCAGAGAGTCCTCAGCCGGTATGAACACTACCAACTGCCGCTCTCCAGCAAGCAGTAATTACCCCTCAAGCACCAGCAGATCGTGAAAGATGGCCGGAGCTGGTGCTGGCAGCTGCTTACAAACAGCCAAACGATCCCAGAGTTTTCAGTTGCCAGACTGGGCCCACCTCTTTTGGAGCCCTACTTACCATGAAAAATAGCAACTTGGAGCCGGCAACTCCCTGCATACTTTCCCTGAACCTAATCTTCATGCTACCTTATGAGAATTTACGGCAAACCAAAGGATAAGATGAATAGAATTTAGGCAAGGAAGGGAGTATAAGGCTATCCTTTGGAAACATACATGTATTTTATATACTCTAATAAATCTCCAGTGCATGTTTGTGTCCCCCTTAGATATCCTAGACTTTGTATTATTATTTATCACTTTCTTTTCGTCCCTTCACCCCTTGCCTAATCGCGCTTAGAAAAGTGGCCTTTTCACCCTAGCTTCGGGCGGTTGGGCCAATTCACTATCCTCTGCTTTGGGGCTCCTGCGCTGAGGTCGTGCGGTCCCCCGCAAGAGGGCATATTTCAGCACCACGGACAGCACAACTACCCTCAGGCCCGCCCTTCTGGAATATCTACCCAGCGCCAAAACTTTTTTGGTGGGAATAGAAAGAGAAAGGGAAGGCCAGAGGCAACCAGGCGGGACAAAGGGGGAAAGTCAGTGGCTTTGGAGGGGAAAGCCTAACCTGCCAGGAAACGCCTCGGAGTTCCAGATAACCATCCCCCACAACCCGGGGGTGGGGGCGGGGGGGGGGGGATGAGCACTAGGCTCTCCCAGCTCCCGACGCTGCGCCCTGCAGCAGTCAGTGGACAGCGGAATACTTCATTCGTTTCTGTTTCTGTCTCTGGTTGCAGAACCAGACTCTCACCACGTTCTTTTTAAGGTCCAGTTTCTCAGCGATAGCCGCGATCTTCTCAGATGAAGGACGTGGCTGGATAGCGAAATAGGCCTCGAGTGAACGCTTCTCCGGCGCCGCGATGGACGTGCGTTTGCGCTTCCGTTCGCTGCCGTTGAAGAGCTCCGGCTTGCTGTTCTTCTCTCGGTAGGCGGCCTCGGCCTCCTCCAGCCAGGCCTGGAGCACCGGCTTAAGCGCGATCATGTTGTTGTGCGAGAGAGTGAGAGACTCGAACCTGCAGATGGTGCTCTGGCTGAGTGAGCCCACGCCAGGGATCTTGAGATTAGCCAGAGCCGCGCCCACGTCCGCCTGGGTCACCCCCAGCTTGATGCGCCGCTGCTTGAAGCGCTCGGCGAAAGCTTCCAGCTCGCGCGGGTCTGACTCCACGTCGCTGAGGCATGCGGGCATGGCGCTGTGAGGTGCCACGGTATGCGGGTGACTCATGCCCATGGCCTGGTGCAGGTGGCCCATGGCGCCCAGGTGGTGTGGATGGATCTGTGCGGGCATCACCGAGTGTTCTGGAGCGCCCAGGCCGCTCACACTCAGCGTGGGCGAGATGTGCTCCAGCAGGTCGCCTTCGAGGCCCTGGTGCACGGCGTGGTGCGGGTGCGAGGTGAGCGCGGCTGGGTGGGAGATGGGCACGGTGGACGAAGTGGACGTGCAGGGCACGCTGCTCATGGTATGGTAGGTGGCGTCGGGCTTGAACGGATGGTTCTTGCCGTGGGAGACGATATCCACCGCCGCCAGAGCTTCGGCGCGTGCCAGCAGGCTCTCATCAAAGCTTCCAAATATATTACCCTGCAGCTGCAAGCGAGAAGGCGCACAGCACGGTCAGTGGGGAATACTGTCAACTCAGGATTAAAACACATTTTCAAGCAACCGAGATGCCTCTCCTCAAAGCCCAGGTCATAAAAATTAATACGGAGGCAGCAGCTCTGCTGGAACAGACGTGTGGATCAGAGACATGAATGAGAGAGAGAGCGTGCCGGGAGAGAACGCGGGGGAGACAAGGAGAGGGGTTCAGACAGCGGCGATTGTTCTGGGCGACATGAAAAAAACATGAAGCTAGTGCCTGTCAAAAAATGTGCCTTAGAGCGGTAATTATGCTCCACTACGTACCTGCGGGGCTGGGAGACAGACTCGGCGCATGGCCTCGGAGCCGGAGTGCAGGCTGGAGAATTTGGGTTCTTGCAGCACCGGGTGCATGCCGAAAGGCTGCTTGGAGTTCATGGCCATCATCTTCGCGCGCCTGGCAGGGTGGCAGCGGGGGACATGGAATCAGACTTGTCTAGCTTGCTTGCCGCGCTCCAAGTGAGAGCTGCTGAGCGCCCGCGCTCCCCTCGCCCTCTCGCTCGCTGCCTCCCCTCTCCCCCACCTGCTTCTTCACTCATCTTACAAGCAGCCTGCCAGGAAGGGCCCGGGCGCGCGCAGGCGTGCTCACGCGCCCGGGACTCGCAGGGGCGGCCCGGGAGGCGAAGCGAGACCGCAGCTAGCGGCGCGCCTTTCTGCGCCCGCGGCGGCCGCCTCCTCCACAGCCTTTATACCCCGGCCTGGCCTGGCCTCTCCCAGTGCGCCCCGCCCCGCCTGGCTCCAACCCGCCAGACCTTTCGGATTCTTTCCTATTCGTGGACTTCCCTCCCTCACCCCACCCCAAAAGTCCCAAACCTCTCTGTACCGTCCCAACTCGAACTGCCGGAATAAACGGGCAGCCTTGGGCTGAGCTGGGGCAGGAAGCTGACCCTACTCCAACTTCTCCTCCCCACCACACACACACACACACACACACACACACACTCCGTCGGCCTGGCTGCCGCCAAACTGCCCATTTCCAGGGCGCTCCTGGCCTCACGCCCGAGCCGTCCACCAGAGTCCGGCCCCGCGGCGCAGCGAGGAGGCGCCTCCAAGCTCCCAGACGGGCTCGGGGGAGGGTGAGGGGCGGCCAGAACGAGCCCCAGGTGGCCCCTGCCCCGCCGGTCCCCCAACCGCGCTCCGGGGTGGAGGTAGGGGCAGTAACTGCCTTCTCGTCCAGGAGTGGCTTCCTCCACACGCTAGCCTTTCTTGCTTTCATTTGAGGGAGGCAACTTGGCCCACCCTCTCTTTCCTCAACCCTCCAGTCTAAAGAAGCTTATGGAGTATGTTTTAGAATAGCGACAGTTCCTGAGGGCCCTCTAGCCTGGGAGTCAGTCAGTGCACTTCTGCTGGGCAGCCAGCGCTTGCAAGCCTATTCCTCGTGACAACAGCTACCATTTAAGAGTTCCTAATATGTGCTAGACAATTTAGAGTTTATCCATGGAATTCTCATACCCACTGTATGGAGTAGGTGACGTTATCCCTTTTTGCGGATGAGGAAAACAAGGGTCAGAGGGGTTAAGTGATTTGCCCCTTCACTCACTCACCCAGTTATCCATCCATCTTACAAATATTTACTAACGGCCTGCTGAGCGCCAGGCGCGTTAGCCTCCTGGTCTTCCTTCCCGTAGTTTCTGAACTTGAGGGCTCTCGGGGTTAGTACTGCCTGCCTCCACCTCCCCTAACCTCTTTTTCTCTCTGCTTCCCTCTTCTCTCCTCTCCTTTCCTCCGCGCTAGTAAACATCGTGAATAATGGATGGGGAATCCTGGGCCGCGGCTACGCAGCACTCCTGTTTGGAGAGAAAACCCGCACGTGCGGCTGTACCCCCTCGCCAGGGCCACCGCCTCCTCTGGGAGAGCGATCTTCAGGGCTTAGAGACCTCACCCTGCCTGCTATTGTGCAGGGTTTGTGCGTGCCGGGTTTCCCAAAATTTGAACGCGGAGGAGTGGGGTGGTAGAGGGGACGACCCCTTACCCCAAGGGGACGCCCTGACAGATCCGGGCTCCCTCTTCCCCTCGGCGCTTTCCAATCGCTTTTCTCCCCATCCAAGCCAGCTCCCTCCTCTAGTTCCCGCTCTGAGAGGGTGGGAAAAAGACTCAGCCCAGATGCCTAGAGCCAAGGGTAGCCCTTTCGCTAAAGCCCTCTGAGCCTCCGTTTCCGCTGCTCTTAAATGAGAATTGCACTACCGTTTGCATCCTTGGGTTCTGGTGAAGATCTTCAGAGTCAGGGTAAGAAGAAAAGCATTGAGCCACGAAACTGGTGCTCAGTAAACTTCCTTGCAACCTGGTGCCATGGGGCTCAGGTCCTGGCCTTGGATCAAAATGTGCCTCTGCCCCTCTTGCCGGCTGAGACCATGAGATATTCTCGATGTCTCTGTGCTGTGGTGTCCCCCTCTGTAAAATGGGGGTGATCATTTCCTTCCTATTGATTGTAGTGAGGAATACACTGGGATAAGCACACAGCATAGTGCCTGGCTCATTGATGTCATTGAATACACGTTTCTCTCTTTTTCCTCAACTTAAAGAGAAAGCATGTGGGAGTGGGGGTGGCCCGAGTCATCCCCATTGAGTCCAGTTTGTCTGCAGGTGCATACTGTGGGTCCTTGCTCTCCATTCACCCAACACCTGCATTATGCCAAACCCCATGCCAAAGTCTGGGACACTGATGTGAATAGGATTCCATCCTGGCCTTCAAGGAGTCACCAGTCTAATATCCACTGCAGAAAGTTAACTCTGAACTTGGCAAGCAGTAGAAGGGACGTAGATTCAAAAACAAGACACAGATGTGTACAAGGGTGGTAGGATTCTGGAAGTGCAGAATACACATCAGAACCATGGGCCTCAGGAGGGCTGGGTTTGGGGCTGCATTCTGACACCGAGTATAGGTGACCCCGACTGGGCCTCAGTTTACCTACAAAGAGTTAGCTGCATAAGATGATTGCTTAGCTTTAACAAAGACTTCCAGCTTTAACAAAAGATTATCATTCTGTTTAATTTGAATGAAACCCATTTTGAGCATGTCAGGAACTTATCTCCAGGGACACTCAGCTCCCTAGAGCTGAATGCAGCATTATTTTATCACTCAGTAGCATTTAAGACCACTCAGTCTTTGTTTTCTTCCCAGTGCTGGAAGCCCAAAGAGAAAAGGGGAATGAAATGTAAGGATACATGGTCTGTACCTTGCCTGGCCCCATGATGCCCCAAAACCTGTACTCACTCCATACTACCCTACTTGTCTGTGAAGCTGAACCCGTAGAAACTGGGAAAGAAAGGATTCATATCCATTCTCTTTCTCTGCTCTGTCCTCTCAGGGTTCTGGGAGACACTGGCCAGCATAGAGGTCAGGCAAGAATCAGAGAGAGCAAAACCAACTGGTCCTTGCATGCCTCCAAAGTTGACCTTCTTCACCTTACCAGCCCCTCCAGCATCCCCAGGCATTAGGATCACAGATCAAAAAACACACCTGCGTCTGCTCCCACGTGTTTCAGCGTTTTTCCCATCTTCCCCTCTAAGAAGGTCTGTTAGCAGTTGTAGCAGCCAGTGGTAAGATGGCACCCATCCTTAAGGACCAGTCTTTTTGAGAGGGCCTTGGAGATAACAGACTGGAGACTGATGAAGAAAAAAAGAAAAACACCATATAGAAAACAATTGGAAGGACAGCCTTAGACGGCAATTTGTAACAGCCTCTACACTTTCCAGAATTTCTAAACTTAAATTCTTTCTGGTGCAAAACTAGCAAAATAGATAAGTAACTTTATCTGGGTGGATAAAAGGGAAGATTGAAACTATGGTAAACTAGAGAGCACTTACCGCCCCCCCTTCCCCATGATATTAAATTACAATTACACACACACACACACACACACACACGCATACATACACATATCATTTATAGGCCAAACAAAATCTGTGAAGGTCCATGTAAGGACCATGAGGGCATTTATGCAAGTGGCATCAAAGGAAGAATTTTCCCCATTCTACAAGCATTTCTGAATGCCTGCTAACAGCAGAGTGTTTTGGAAGGTCTTGCAGATATAGTAGACACTGCTTCAGGAGCTCAGAGTCTAGAAGGGTCATAGATTTGCCACATAGAAGGCTAAGTCAGGGCACAGAACATCATATTCTCCAGAAGGACTAGCCATGTAGAGATGCAAAATGGGTTGGGGCCTGGGGGCAGATGCATTTTCCTATGGGCCAGTGGTTCTCAATTTTAGTATGAGTAGGAATTATCTGAAACCTCTTAAAACACAGCACCCACAGCTGGGCATGGTGGCTCACGCCTTTAATCCCAGCACTTTGGGAGGCTGAGGTGGGCAGATCACAAGGTCAAGAGATCAGACCACTCTGCCAACATGGTGAAACCCCAACTTTACTAAAAATATTAGCTGGGCGGGCTGGTGCCGGTGGTCCCAGCTACTCGGGAGGCTGAGGCAAGAGAATCACTTGAACTCAGGAGGCAGAGGTTGCAGTGAACCGAGATCGCGCCACTGCACTCCAGCCTGGTGATAGAGCAAGACTCCGTCTCTAAATAAAGAAAGAAATACCACACACACACCCTGAGATGCTGACCACAAAAACTGAAGTGTTTTTTAATAGGCGCCCATGATTTTGGACGCAGAGGATCTGGGACTCTCAACTTGAAAAACTTACTCTAGACCCTTGTCACCTGACTCATTATTATTTTTAAATCCTGCCCTAATTATGTGAGTTTCATGGAGACTCAAAGAGAGTTTTCCTTCTTTGAGCTTCCAGTGTCTTTTGCATCTTCCCTTATTATCTCTTAGTAAGAACATGATGTTCTGTGCTCTCTACTCCTTGAAGAACTCTGTGTTGCCAGTGCCTGAGTCTAGAAGCCAGGCATCATTAAGAGCTTAATGTAATTCATGTTGAATCAGTGAACTCTGGCCAGGGGGTTGCCCATGATGATGGTGACAAGAAGGGCCACTTACAGAGTGGTTCCTGTGTACCAGGCTCTAAGCTAGATGCTTTAGAAATGTTGTACACTGAGTCTCCAAATCAGGCCTGTGAGGTTGATAGTACTGTCCCCATTTTACAGATGAGAAAAAGGAGGCATAGAAAGGCAAAGTCGCCCAAAGCCACTCGATTAGGCAGTGGTGGCGAGGGGATAGGGGCCTTGGTTTGTCTGACTCTGGAGTTCAGTTTTTTAGTAAGTGCTAACTGGGTTGGCACTAGTTATCCCACCTCCCAAGCCCAGGACTGCGGGAGTAGGGTGAGCCTGTTTTACTTTTCTTGCTTCCGGAGGCTGGCCAGGCTCCAGGCAAGCTTCCTGCACAGGATGCACTTGGAGAAGCCAGCAGCAACCCCCACCCTCCTTCATTCCCAAGCCCTACCTTGGATAGTTGAAAAGCGGGCCGGGAGGGTGGAATGGTAGATGGCCCCGATAGGAGGGCCCGAACTCAAGATGCCAACGTGCGGCGAGGCAGCTGGCGGGGCTGCCTGGCCAGGTGTTCGCAGCCACGGACTTGCCTTCCTCTCCCTTTCTCTGGTCTCCTTTCACAAACTTCTCACATGTACTCGCCGCCTGCGCAGCTGCTGCGGGACTCGTCTGTCGGCCGCTGCCTTGCATTGTCTGCAAGGGCTCAGAGGATCCGAGACGCCCAGAGGGATTCGGGGGCCGGAGACTGAGCATCCGTGAGGGATCGC